TACCTAGGTTGGCTACAGAATTTGCAAGATTCTGCATTTTCATCATCTCTCCAATATAACATACAACCCCTACTACATACATTAATCCTTTCAACTGGAAGACCTAAGTTATCCACTAACTTCTTCATATCGTAAAAATCACTTGGCATTATGTTATCAGGAGGCATTGCTTCTCGCATTACTTCAACAAAAGAGTTAAAGCAATTCTCGGACACATTATGCTCGCCTTGATATTTAACAATCTTGCTGCGCGATGCGAGTATGATTGTCACAACCTGCCCATAAAGGTTCATCTGCTGCTTTCAACACTTCCCAGAACTGATTAGATGAAAACGTTTCATTACACACATTCTCATCAAAACCTGTTACTCCTATCTCTTCAAATTGTTCAAGTCTTGGAGTAAAACTAGTACTTGCATGGTTTGGATCTGAATTATGACCAGCTGCATCAATCACCATCCTCTGGTATGGGTTCATTTGGTCATAATAGCTACATTCTTTCCTAACTGAAAATTGGTCACTTATTCGATATCCTTCATCAGATATAAATGGTTCACCATGACAAGTCCAATTATAGTAGTTCGGAGTAAACCCAAATCTACAAAGATGTTCTCTAACTGTATCACATACATGAAATTTACCATTACTGCACTTTCTACACGGACACCTTAACTTATTTCCATCCATCAACTCATATTTACTACTAGCAAAGTCCAAAAATAGTTCCAACCCAGTACGAAACTCATCGGTCAATCCTCGACGTTCAGGTAAGTTCTTATTATACATCCAAGCCCTGTCTCTTTGCATTGTCTATATAAAAATAACAAAATCTCGTAAAATATTAATGCCAAAAAATTTTCGATATTAAAACCATAAAATTCTAAAAATTAAAATTTTATTTTTGCCTAAACAATTATTTTGAAATTGAAAAAATTAAAAGAATTGACTTACCCAAGTATTTGACTGAAATCTTTGTAGTACAAAGTGCTCAATTTGATGAGAATTGCAACGTTCACTTCATCCGCGAGACTTTCAAACGAATACGTACCTACAAAAAAAATTGACTTCAGATTTTATTTTTTTATAATAATTTTTTTCCCCAATTTTTTTTTAATAATTTTTTTTTCGAATTTTTTTCCCAAATTTTTTTTTCTTCATTTTTTTCTCCGGTCGCCGGTCCGGTAGTTGGACCTCGCCGGCCATGGCCAGATCTGGACCTCGCCGGCCAGATCTGGACCTCGCGGCGAGGTCCAGCGGCCGCCGCTCGACCTCGCCGCGAGGTCCAGATCTGGCCATGGCCGCCGCTGGACCTCGCGGCGAGGTCCAGCGCCGGACCCCATGGCGAGGCCGCTCGGCCTCGCCCAAATCTGGGCGAGGTCCAGCGGCCCCGCCCATGGCCAGCGAGCCTCGCCGGTAGCCAGTCGCCGGTTGCCGGACCGGCGACTGGCGACGAAGTCAGAAAAAAAAAAGAGAAAAAAAAATCAATAAAATAACAAAAATTTGAAAATAGTTTTGCCCAAATTAATCACACCACTTACCTGTAGAAAAGGTTCACCGAGATAGATTTTTGCGCGTGTGGAGAGATTTATCGAGAGGAAGGGATAACAGCGAATAGGGAGAGGAAGGGAGAACAGCTAATAGGGATAAGAGGAATTAGCAGAGAGAGAGAAATTGGGTCTACAAGTAGAGGAGAATTAGCGACGAATAAAAATTCGTCGCTAATTCCGTCGCAAAATAACCACGAATTTTTTTTCGTGATAAATTTCGTCGCAAATTAGCGACGACATTTATTTTTCGTCGCAAATTAGAAACGGAAAAACATTCGTCGACAATTTCGTCGCAAATTAGCCACGAATTTTTTTTCGTGGCAAATTCCGTCGCAAATTAGCGACGAATGTTTTTTCGTGGCAAATTCCGTCGCAAATTAGCCACGAATTTTTTTCGTGGGAAAATCCGTCGCAAATTTTCCACGAATTTTTTTTCGTGGTAAATTTCGTCGCAAATTTGCGACGATTTTTTTTCCGTGGCAGATTCCGTCGCAAATTAGCCACGAATTTTTTTTCGTCGCAAAATTCGTCGGAAATTTGCGACGAATTATTTTTCGTGGCTAATTTGCGACGGAAAATATATTCGTCGCAAATTGCGTCGCAATTAGCCACGAAAAATAATTCGTCGCAAATTTCCGTGGCTAAATCCTTGTTTTTTTGTAGTGACTATCTTCTTCTTGTTCACACCCGAGCCCAATCGAAACAACAAACTAAGGTTCATTCTTGCAGACGTTCACCAAAACCCTATCTTCTCCCTCGTTCTTCCATCGGCGACAAACAACAAGCTGAGGTTGCAGAGCATCTTGACGAAAACTCGAAAAGTATAAGCATCTTCCTTCCTTCCTTCCGTTGATCGATTCGTTCGCACTCTTGCGAAGAGATCGCGGTTGCAGAGCATGATCTCGATCGCGCGTTGCGGATTTCACCTGCGATGGGTTTCGTGTGTTGGTTGTCTGATCGAGTGTTTGAATTCGATTCAGGTGAGAAGAAGCTGTCGAAGGTACTTCAAGTTCCCTTGTCCTCTGCACACGCTCGTGCAGGAGTTTCCAATTCCTTTCTCGTCGGAGAGCCAGTTCACCTATGCTCCGTCACGTTTGGTTTTTTGCTTACACCAGTAGTTACGAGTTTGGGCTCGTTGGGCGATTTTGAATCCACATTGAAGAAGGTGGAAGCATTTTCACCGAGCCTTCTGATATAAATTTCTGCTCACTTACCATAGGGTTGTTGACGAGGAACGAATAGGGGTTTTGTATTTGCTCGCGCTTTCGTATGCAGAGATTTATTGAGTTCTAGGTGTGACTTTTGAGGAATTGGCAAGAGATTCCATGTTTCTTGCCAATTGATGCTTGTTCTCTAAATATTGGCGTGGTGCGATTGCTCAGTGCTTAGGTTTTCTTTGGGTTTTTCCGATTTAGCCATCGCGGATTTCATTCATCGGTAAAATCTGTTTGGGGTTTGCACAAAGTTGTGCTTTCACAGGATTCGGATGTGGGTTTCTGGCATGTTATTGCATATCATCTTGACTTTATCTCCAGTTTAAATGTAGAGCCGAACATCTAAATCACCATAATATGTTCCAATTCCATAGGTTTTGCCGAAGGCTATGTCACAAAACAAACCTCGAGGCTTTTAGTGGTGTTTGGACATCTCAACGGTCTCATCTACTCTCCTTGTTCAACATCCAGAGTGCTAATCCTTTTCTTTGTGGGCTGTAGAACGCCTTTTGTGGTTGTCAACTTCTTTTGATTCCCGTGTAACGTCTTTTCCAGCATAATACACCTTTTAGCACTTACAACAGGCAGTATTGTGATGCATTCATGAGTCATAATTCTTATCTTCGACACTTTGTAAACACCACCATTTGGGATGGAAGTAGCTATGGGACATTATTTGTTATCTATAAGTTCTACTTTTTTGCATGTTTTTGTACTGTCCTCATCTTGGTTATGAAAGTCATGCATCTTTTGACATCAGTTGGGTGAGTTGTGGCATTGTTTCTAGGATAATTTTCACAGGTGGTCTTTAAACTTTGATAAATCTTGCAATTGGATCACTAAATTTCTTTGCAATTGATGCACTCTGTTCATTTTCCAACCAAATGTCCAGCAAAAAATTGATGTGGCCTATTATGTGGCAATTTTTACCATGGTCAAAGTGCATCAGTTCAACTACAAAAAGTTAAAAGTTTTGTGCTTTGGGTTGTTGCAATCAAAGTTCAGTAACCCAAATTGCAAAATAATCGAAATTTGGGAATCACCGGTGGGAAATCTGCTCTGCTATATATTTGGCTGATCTTGGAATCTGAGGGTCGCAATACTTACTGTAGACTTAGGTTAGCCAATCCAGACAAATTTCGAGTAGATTAACTCTAATTTGGACTAACACGTGTCAGGTTTGTTGTAGATTAGCCAATCTAGACAGATTTCGAGTAGACTTAGGTTTGTCTGATCTTGGAATCTCTTCTGCTATGTATTTGTTGTAGATTAAATCGGCTTTCAAGAAGAAGGTGTGGGAGTCGCACCCCGGTCTCTTCCCAGTTAAAGATTGGTATTTTCAAGCGGTGAGATGTGATACTGTCCTAAAATTTCCTTTGGTCTCGTGAGATAGCTTGCATTTTCTTTTCTTTTTTCTATCTCATCGTGTGTTGTCTTTGGGAGCAACTTGATGAAACCTGTAAAAATATTGTCGGATGCATACAGGAACGCGAAAGGGATTTTTCGTTCTCTTGTTTACTCTGCCCAAGCCCGTGATTTGTAAGGTATGGGACAAAATGAAGATTTTCAGCAAAACAAGGTGCTGATAAAGTTATTGAGAAAATGAATCGACCGCAAGAAATGATTAGTAAACCTCTAAACACGAACCCGACCCGACTCGACCCGACCCGATTGTGCGGTTATATCATGTTCGGGTCTTGTTTTGGGTCGGGCCAATCACATATATTCATTGTTTCGGGTCGGGTAGGGTCGGGTATCATGAAAACTCGACCCGACCCGACCCATTGACACCCCTAAGGTGAGGTATGTTTTTTGAACATATTTCATGAAAAAGAAAAAAATTAGTTGAAGCGTTCATCCTCGTTTTTTACTTGGTTTGTAGCTTGTATCCACAAAATTTGCATATTTGATAAGAAGCCATCTCAATATTGATCCCAACAGCATCATATGCACATCTTGGTAGGGGTGTCAATGGGTCGGGTCGGGTTTTCATGATACCCGACCTGACCCGAAACAATGAATATATGTGATTGGCCCGACCCGAAACAAGACCCGAACATGATATAGCCGCACAATCGAGTCGGGTTCGGGTTGGATCGAGTCGAGTCGGGTTCATGTTTAGAGGTTTACTAATCATTTCTTGCGGTTGATTCATTTTCTCAATAACTTTATTAGCACCTTGTTTTGCTCAAAATATTCATTTTGTCCCATACCTTACAAATCACGGGCTTGGGCAGAGTAAACAAGAAAACGAAAAATCCCTTTCGCGTTCCTGTATGCATCCGACAATATTTTTACAGGTTTCATCAAGTTGCTCCCAAAGACAGCACACGATGAGATAGAAAAAAGAAAAGAAAATCCAAGCTATCTCACGAGACCAAAGGAATTCTTAGAACACTGTCACATCTCACCGCTTGAAAATACCAATCTTTAACTGGGAAGAGATCGGGGTGCGACTCCCACACCTTCTTCTTGAAAGCCGATTTAACCTACAACAAATACATAGCAGAAGAGATTCCAAGATCAGACAAACCTAAGTCTACTCGAAATCTGTCTAGATTGGCTAATCTACAACAAACCTGACACGCGTTAGTCCAAATTAGAGTTAATCTACTCGAAATCTGTCTGGATTGGCTAACCTAAGTCTACAGTAACTATTGCGACCCTCAGATTCCAAGATCAGCCAAATACATAGCAAAACAGATTTCCCACCGGTGATTCCCAAATTTCGATTATTCTGCAATTTGGGTCACTGAACTTTGATTGCAACAACCCAAAGCACAAAACTTTTAACTTTTTGTAGTTGAACTGATGCACTTTGACCATGTAAAAATTGCCACATAACAGGCCACATCAGTTTTTTGCTGGACATTTGGTTGGAAAATGGACAGAGTGCATCAATTGCAAAGAAATTCAGTGATCCAATTGCAAGATTCATCAAAGTTTAAAGACCACCTGTGAAAATTATCCTAGAAACAATGCCACAACTCACCCAACTGATGTCAAAAGATGCATGACTTTCATAACCAAGATGAGGACAGTACAGAAACATGCAAAAAAAGTAGAATTTATAGACGACAAATAATGTCCCCTAGCTACTTCCATCCCAAATGGTGGTGTTTACAAAGTGTCGAAGATAAGAATTATGACTCATGAATGCATCACAATACCGACTGCTGTAAGTGCTAAAAGGTGTATTATGCTGGAAACGACGTTACACGGGAATCAAAAGAAATTGACAACCACAAAAGGCGTTCTACAGCCTACAAAGAAAAGGATCGGCACTCTGGATGTTGAACAAGGAGAGTAGATGAGACCGTTGAGATGTCCAAACACCACTAAAAGCCTCGAGGTTTGTTTTGTGACATAGCCTTCGGCAAAACCTATGGAATTGGAACATATTATGGTGATTTAGATGTTCGGCTCTACATTTAAACTGGAGATAAAGTCAAGATGATATGCAATAACATGCCAGAAACCCACATCCGAATCCTGTGAAAGCACAACTTTGTGCAAACCCCAAACAGATTTTACCGATGAATGAAGTGCCCGATGGCTAAATCGGAAAAACCCAAAGAAAACCTAAGCACCGAGCAATCGCACCACGCCAATATTCAGAGAACAAGCATCAATTGGCAAGAAACATGGAATCTCTTGCCAATTCCTCAAAAGTCACACCTAGAACTCAATAAATCTCTGCATACGAAAGCGCGAGCAAATACAAAACCCCTATTCGTTCCTCGTCAACAACCCTATGGTAAGCGAGCAGAAATTTATATCAGAAGGCTCGATGAAAATGCTTCCACCTTCTTCAACCTGGATTCAAAATCGCCCAACGGGCCCAAACCCGTAACTACTGGTGTAAGCAAAAAACCAAACGCGACGGAGCACAGGTGAACTGGCTCGCCGGCGAGAAAGGAATTGGAAACTCCTGCACGAGCGCGCGCAGAGGACAAGGGAACTTGAAGCACCTTCAATAGCTTCTTCTCACCTGAATCGAATTCAGACACCCGATCAGACAACCAACACACGAAACCCATCGCAGGTGAAATCCGCAACGCGCGATCGAGATCATGCTCTGCAACTGTGATATCTTCGCAAGAGCGTGAACGAATCGATCAACGGAAGGAAGGAAGGAAGATGCTTACACTTTTCGAGTTTTCGTCAAGATGCTCTGCAACCTCAGCTTGTTGTTTGTCGCCGATGGAAGAACGAGGGAGAAGATAGGGTTTCGGTGAACGTCTACAAGAATGAACCTCAGCTTGTTGTTTCGGTTGGGCTCGGGTGTGAACAAGAAAAAGATAGTGTTTCCTTGTTAGTTGTTTTGGTTGGGCTCGGGTACGCGAGCCCAATTGTTTTTTCTATTATCCAAACAAATTGAGGTCCAACCCGATCCAATACAAAAATTTTCGGGTCGGGTCGGATTGGATCGGATCATGTTTGGCCAGGTTCTTTTGACACCCCTACCTCACCTTTTGCTAGGAAAAATTGTCCAAAAAATCCTAAACCTACTATATGGTGGTCAAATCAGTTCTAAACATTTCAATTGTATCAATTTAATCCCAAATATTTTGATGATTTACCAATTTAGTCTTAAATATTTTAACGATTGGCCAATTTAGTCCTCTGAGCCAATTTTGGCCAAAAATCGCTGAGGTGGCGGTCTAGCAGCGCCGGCCGTCTTGCGTGGTACGGTCAGTGTACGACCAGCACAAACATGAATATTTTTTTTACATTTTTAAATTTTTCTTAATAGTTTCTTTCCAATCATGCTCATCCCCAAATTTTAAATTCTCATACCCCCTCAAAACACTCAAAACCAACCAAAAGCCAAATCACTCAGACCTAAGCAAAATGATAAAGCGTGTTTTTGCAAGGAGTAACTTGGTCCTTTCACTGAAATTTTGGATTGGTGTGCCTTGTATCTCTATGTTTCTCTTTGGCAACTCCTTCATCCTTCATTGGTATTTCCTCCAAGTAGCTCTCATCACCCTTTGTCCATTGTTTAGGAAGATTTTCTTGCGCAATGCTCATAAACATATGTAAATGAACACCGAGTCAAAAGTAAGGCATGTAGTTGGAATCTTCCCTTTATCTTTTGGCCAAATAAGCTTCAAGAGGACGTCAAACACGGTCAAGTTTGGCATGAAACTCTGACAATTCATAAGACTACAAAAAAATTGCTCATTAGGAGTGCAATTGCTTAGTTGGCTCGATGGGTCGAATGAAATGTCCCCAATTGAATGAACAGTCTCATTAGATCCAACGTTGATGTCTAATAAAAAGTCCAAACATTTGAAGCACTTTAAAATATTGTTGGAGTTCAAATTCATCCTCTTTCTCCTATTCTTTGGACATTTGGGTAGCGATATTTCTGCTAAATTTTTACAAATCACACTAACTCTTTTTGACGGCATGAACGACTTTAGAATGGAATCGAGAAATTTCAAGTATAGATATTGAATGGGGATAATTACCTAAAAAAGTCCAAGACCTCTCATACAAATGTCAATTTAGATTTAAACTTTTAATTTGGTCAATTCAGTCCTAAACATTTTGAGGATTTGCCAATATAATCCTCTCAGTCAATTTTGGTCGGAAATCGCTAATGTAGACCTCGGCCGCCCTACATGACATGGTTAGTACTAACTTGAACAATTATTATAATTTTTTTTATAGATTTTCTTTTCTTTTCTTTTTTCTTGTCATTGTGGCCGCCCCACCCGGCAACCCTCGCCGCCCACTGGGCGAGGGTCGCGGCCCTAGATCAGAACCTCGCTAGATCTAGGCAAGGGCCACCACCCTCATATAGTGGGTGACCTCACCGGCCATCACCGAGGCTCTGGTGACACTCGTTAGCCAAAATGAAAAAACAAAACAAATTTCTAAAAAATTCAGAAAAAAAAAAAATCAAAGAATTGCAAAATTTGTTCATATCAATGTTGGTCGTACCATATAAGACAGCCAGCATTTATATTAGAGATTTTTAGTCAAAATTGACTAGAATGACTTGCAAATTGTTTTCCAAATTGACATCATACATTAAGTTTATGACGTTTTTGGTAATTTTCCAAAGTTGATTGTATACAAAAAAAAAACCCCAAGAAATCTACACCTTGAGAGTAAGATCAAACAGAGCTTTAATGGTGTGAAGAATTCGTTTATTTGCGCAGGAAACTCGCCAATAAGCTAAAGTAGAGACGAAGTTGTCAGCAAGAATGCACGATTACTACTCGTTACTACGGCGAAAATACAATAGCAGAAACTAGCCATTCAACCAAACCCACAACTTTGAATTTCTCTCAATCACATAACAAATTTTCCACCACATTGTGTACCGACATGCGACACCGCCGAGCAGCATAACACACAGTATATACACCCGAATTGTTGGTTATAAATTTAGTTATCTAGCGACCCGACTCCACTTCAACACTCCTCTACAGGCTAATCACTAATCCAGCACGAAAATCCTAGCTATGAGAACAAACCTCTCTCGATGGAAGCGCTGAGTGCTAACATTCATGGTATGCACAGAAAATACTGAGCTGTTACATTTCCCATCATTGCCCCAGTTAATACAGCAAGCTAACTAATCTCCAGGCACCAGAATTGCCCAAAACTTCATTTCTTGTCGCCGAGCATCAGATTCGGACAAATGAATTTTGCATTTTGTTAGTAGGACATCATGAAAGCCGCCCCATAATCAGCTTGTAGCAGGTGTTATCTGCCAGAGCCCCGTCCCAACCGACCAAGAAGCTGCAATCGAAAATAGCATGCCACTAATTAGAGTTTCAACCATAGGTTCCTGAGAATGCATAATGTGCTATTTAATATGAGAAGTCATCAAATGACTAACATTAATTTCCATATAGTTTTATACAGTGTATCCAAGGATTGTACAAAACATGAACTAAGCCTGGTTGAATGCACCAAGAGGGCAACCATCAACACAAACCATTCACGCATCCCACAAATGCTAGACCAAATAGCTCCTTCGATGGTCCTTGGTATTATCGTTTGAAATTTTTTGACATCCCCAGACAAACGAAAGCAAGTGCTTATGCATGCAAACATGGATCACTGGCAACGCCAATGATAAGTACATCAACAACACAGTATGCATGTTCTCTTATCAGAAGAAATACATAGCCAACATAGAGAACAAATGAATTAAACCAGAATCACTCGATTCTGCCATCAATCTTCCAAAATAAAGAGGACACAAGGACAGCTCAGCTTCTTGGAAAAGAGAATATTAGTTTAATGACATCAAAACTCCGTGTCAAGATTAGCAATATGCGCAATCTGCAGAGATCTCAGGCCCATTATAAAGGCTGCACAGTACCTTAATAACACGAGAGCCTTCTCATGACATTTAAAAGCTGCAATATACAGTGCACTAGTATATATACAGCGTCTACCCGCTGCCTCCTCAAAAGGCTTCCATAAAATGAACATGTCAATTAGTGACCTAGTACCATAGGCACAGAGTTCAAAATGTCACAAATCATGGTACTAAAATTTTAGGAGGCCCGGACACACACAGACAAGCAACCGCAATCGTCTGATAGACCTAGATCACCTCATAGACATGGTAGATTAAATTTGGCTCCAGGACTCGCTCTCCAAGTGTCATCAAGTGTGCATTACAACATAGAGTTCTCTAACAGCTTTTCTCTAAGTATTTACCAAAATTTTGAGCAGTGCGAAAGAACAGCTAAAACAAGTATGATGGTCCAACAGTGGTCATGAGTCATGACCATGAATATATGTGTGACGAGTTAACAAAATTAGTTAACTGGAATCTGATAAGACTTTATAAGGCCTGGACACACAAAGACAAGCAACCACAATAGTCTGTTAGACCTAAATCACACCATAGACATCGTAGATTAAATGGGTTCCAGGAGTCACTCTAATTTCCATCAAGTGTGCATTAGAACATAGAGTTCTCTAACGGCTTTCTTGCTAAGGACTTACCACAATATTGATCAATGAGAGAAAGGACTGTCAAAACAAGTGTGATGGTCCAACAATGGTCATGAACATGAATATATGGGGGGCGAACATGTGTGTGTGGAAGAAGAGTTACCAAAACTGGATATTGAATAATCCATCCGACAACTGGAATCTGAAAAAGGAACACTTTCACAGACGGCCAAAAACCACTGCATTGAAATAGAGCAAGATGAGAACTTCAAAGCCTATAAATTACTTAATGATACCATCACTGATAAGTGGGTTTGAAAACCAACCCAAAGAGAACAATGCAGCCATATAGTTCAAAGATGATTCCCAGTATTGGCCAACAAACAAATATAAAGAAGAGCCCCAGAAGGAAAGATGCTGAGCCCTACAAATATATAAGAGGAAATCACGATAAGTACCTAATGTCCATGAGAAAAAGATCATGACAACAACACAAGATGAGACCAGGCAGACCTTGTAGTTTGCTTTGTTTGAAAAAAGTTTCCATGTAGAATACCAACCGAGCAGCAGGGCAACCCCGGCCAACCAGAGGATCTAAGTCCAACAAAAACAAATCTGGAAATGAAATATATCTTCAATATGACAAGGCCAAAAAAATTATATCAAAGCAGATGAAAGCCTCACATTCCCAAGAGCGAGTAAGCCCCTGTCAAAGAAAAGAATCACTCCGAGAAAGGTAAAGAAGATGCCAAAACCTATAAGTCCGAGCCCAATCTCTGAAATTCAAAAACAAGTAAAATCACACCTTTAGTCTAACTTAACCAAGAAGCAACTAGAACAATGCCTGCAACCGCACACATTCGTTTACGCGAGCAGAGAGAGAGAGATAGATCCAAAGTTAGCCTTGAACTTCACGAAATCCGGGGTGCATCGCTACCTAAATCTTCATCAAATAAGCCTCTCACGTAGACGACAGATAACCATTAAATTGTTTAACTTGGGATGTTACTCCAGCCAACTTTTCGTGGCCAATTTCTACCAAAACTCCACACCGATAGTCATGCCATTAACTTCATGAACGGAAAAAGAAACCATCGCAGGCAATTACCAACACCGATTACAGGGCAAAGGAGGGCCACTGACCCAAAAAGGCCAGCATACCAGAAGAAAAGCTACGAATTCGTGCAGCTCTATGCACACTTCTCACGATGCGAGTACCCAAAATTCCCTAAAAATTAGAAAGAACGCAGTATCCCATCAAGCAGCTATTGCTTCAGGCAAAGTACGACAGCTTGAAACACAAGTTGCAGATCTGCAGATCGACACTGCAACGCCGTATCAAAGAAGCCTCGCATATCAACGCACTCACAACAACCCAATAGCAACACGACACCGAAAACTCTAATCATCACAGAAACCCAAAGGGTCCGCAAGTTCAATCACGCTTACTCTTCTGCTCGTCCATTTCAAACGCCATGCGGTGACGATCTCGAGCTCGCCCAAGCGAAGAGACCCCAGGACAAGCAACAACAAATCCTACGAAACTGAGAGACAAGACGGTTTTTGTGTCGGATCTGCAAAACTGGGCTTCTTCTTCATTACAATTGGGCTTGAGCCCACGGTTGACTTCAATGGGCTTGGGCCCACAGTTGACTTCAATGGGCTTGGGGACACAGTTGACTTCAATGCGCTTGAGCCCACATGATTCTGACATTAGTCTCTCTCCTATGGCAGTCACGCGATGATACTAGTATTAGAGGTGATCATTGTGCAGGCTCGTGGCCAACTAGTTCGGCTAACCTTATCGACATGTAAGAAAAATTACATACGGGATTTCGGGCCGGGTCAAGATCGGGCATGTTATGGCGGGCCGGGCTTTTCTTTGTCCGACCCTTGACTGACATGTCCATCTGCACCTAACCGGTGATTCTTGTTTCACCATTTAAATAAGCTTCCGAACATTTCGAGTTTAATAAAAGTTTTAAAAAAAATTACAAGTAAAAAGTAGAAGTTGCTCCGAAGAAGCCATCGTCTTGCCTCGAGAGAAATGTCACGATTTTCAAAACATACAAATACATGATGCGACTGTGGCCCAGAGCATGTTAATGGTAAGAGCAACAGAATTTCTGATGAATCTTGGTGAACCGCAACAACCGATCAGATGGGTAGAACTAGGGGTGAGCATGAATTCAGGGTAGAATTGAGAACCAGACCGAACCGGCCATAGGAACCAGTCTGGTTCCATACGCTTCCCGATTCCAAACAAAGTGGAACCGATGAACCATGGTTACATGTTTTAAAATTTTTATTATTTATTTTATTTTACGTGTTCATCTTTTATAGAGATTGTTGCTATTAGCAAATGGGGATTTTTGTTATTGCGTTCACTTTCATTTTACTTATCTAAAAAAGAAACAAGAACAGAAAGAAAAAAAGAAAAAATTGGACGGTTCCCAAGTAGACCCTGCAACCAATAAACAAGGTAGGTTCCACATTTCAGAACGTGTAAGATAGGTTTCGGGTTCCAAAAACTAGAAAACCGGTTCTGATAGGGTAGGTTTCGACTTTCAAGTGGAGTTTGGACCGATCTTGGAACTGCTCACCCCTAAGAGAGATTTAGCGTACACCGCTAACTATCCCCACGTTAATTTGATGTCTTTAATAATATTAAGTTAAGGTGCACATGAATTGATGCCTTTCTAGATCATTGTTCTCTTTGTTATTATCTTGAGTACATCCTCATCAACGGTGCATGTCAAGACAAAATTGCCTCCGCCCAGAATTCAAATTTCAAAAGTCCCAAACAGATCCCGGTTGCCCCAGTTAAGTGCTGCCTAAGTTATGCTAATCAGAACCCTCAATTGGTTACATCTTTGGTCTTGGAATATCGTGAGAGCTTCGTCGAAATGCGAGTGTTCTTTCTTCTTCTTCTTCTTCTTCTTCTTCTTCTTCTTCTTCTTTAATGCTTTTGTGTCAGAAAATTGCGGCATTTGAGGTCCAATTTTGGGTACTATTTTTGTCTTTATAGAACGTTTAGCTAGGCAGAGATAAAAGGAGACATTAGGGAACGAGCACATGATTTCTTGAGAGCATGACTGAGGCAGCAATTAACTGGGGCGACCCACATCTGTTTTTGGAGAGTAAACATGTGACCTAGTGAAGTGACATGTACGCGATTGCCAAAGAGCATCTAAAGCGGTCGAATCCACGGAATCGAGCTGGTGAGCTCGTGGTAAGAACTCACACGGAACTCAACCATACGGAATGAAGCGACAAGGCCCTCTTAATATAATCTCGAAAGTTTATTCCGAAATCCATCATACGTGGAATCTATTTAATGTGGCTTCAATGCTCAAAACATCACAATTTTTTATCTTTATTTTCTGAGCCACTCTTCAGTTTTTGTTCTATTTCGTTTTTTCTGTCAAATATTGCCTGGTTCGCCGTTTATAACTTAGCTTACCCGAAATTTTATGGAAAATACAAAACCGAAATGCATTCTCCTCCCGTTCATCCTTTTCACCCGCTCCATTTCATACGCGACGATTCATGCCTACCGTCATTTTCACTGCATCGATTACAAGAATGCGATTTGACTTTAAAGAATAAAAAATATCCCATTATTCCACAATCTTCCTTGATTAGGGTTTTGTACTCTCAAGCATAAAACGGCACAGTTGACTAACATCCCAAACCCAAAAGACATAATCACTAAGATTAGGTAAGATTAGTGAATAGTTGACAAACCAGCTAATATCCAATGGGCTGGACGGTGCTACTGCTCTTCCCCCTAGATGATGCCATAACCGCTCCAAGACGTGACATTTCACAACCAAAGTCAAAGGAGGAATCTTCCACATCTTCTCTTCCCCAACACTCCATGCACATAAAAATTGTTGCATATTTTTCTTTCTTTTAACGTGGATTTGAATCAAATCATTGGAGCAATCACGTTCGTGTCGTTCCCACATGGACTCACCTTATTAGCCGCATGACAACAGGCCTTTTGTCTTGCCGACAACAAATTTTCTTAAAAACACTTGGCAAAGTCGATAAACATTGAGTAGACAACACTAGTCCCTTCATTTACTATATAATTTTATCAAAAGAAGGACGATGTTTTGGTCCCCTCCACCACCCCCAATCATAGCAATTTGATGAGAGGGCTTTTCTGAATTATATTGGCACTTGTGCATAGGAAAATTATTTAGGAGGACGATGCAACTTGATCAATCAATTCAAGTGGTGCTCCCCTAAGATAATAATTAAAAAAAAAACATGAACAAATCTCAGTTGTTCATCCGTTTCGGATCTCCATGTGGCTTCATCTTATCAACAAGTCATTTTCTCAGTATTGCATGCAGTATCTTGTCTAGTAATCAACCACCTACTTCACCATTTATGGGTGCTCGTGGTTTGCTATATTTTTGTAGGTCCTTCGGATTTTGTTTAGAAAGCCTCGCTGGATTCACGAGTATTGAAAATATCTAGGTTGTAAAGTGCAAAATTTTGGGCATTTTGACTTGGGAATAGAAGAAATTAGGGTTTGCTTGGGAAGTTGTTGAATGTTATTAAAGAATGACTTTGTATGAGGGTGCCTTGCGATACCTGCCCTATCTCTAAATGAGGAATATTTGGGGTTTCTAATGCATAGACTTTTAACAAGTGCAGGGTTGTTAAGGCATTTTTTTAAGACGTGTCAAAACTTGCGTACAACATTCGATTTAGTCCCACGACTCTAGGTCTTTGTTTTGAGTTCCATGACACAGGAAATTCTATCACTTGAGTTATATTTGTCACTTGCCTCGTTGAAAAAACTGACCTGAGATTGCTTTCATGTTAAATACTTTGACGTGGCTCGCCAAAAAAATCATCCCTTAATACGCGACACAAAAAGGCTTCGTTTAACAATACCGATGTGCTTCATATTGAGCAACTATGTTCAAATTGCACCCATGCCAAACCCAAGGCAAGTGGGGCGGCTTGGCTCCCAGACAACCCCGGCAACTCTAGCGTCGGGCATGCCGGACTTGAATAGCCTCGTATCAAGGGTAGTTGTTGATGAGGTGTGAATTTGGTAAGCGGAGGCCGCGTCATTGCAAAGTATTGTGAAGATGAGAAGTGGAGAGAGGGAGTAGAAGAGGTAGCAAGAGATGCGGAGGCGGGTGATCTTGTTGCGAATGAAGCCAATTAACGAAATTTTAAAGTTTTCAATAGGCGCTGCCGCTGATTGTCCTCATATTATGCACAATCAATACATTAGAAAGTGAATTATTCTAATTTAAATATACTTGACAAATGCTCGGGTGCTCTCGTTAACACCCAGATAAAATTGCTCTTCCATTACAAACCAAGTTCAAAAATTTAGGAAGCAAAAATCTGTGATATATCCAAATTGGGTGCCACAAATTCCTGTTCTATCAGCACTATGCAATCTCTTTTTTTTTTTTTCCTTTTTATCTTGGACCAACGTTCACATATCAAATTGAGTTGCCTATCAAATTGAAAGGTTTGCCATCTATACCAAACGTAGAAGCGTCGCACGAAATAACCTCAAGAAATCAGGTCGAATAGAACCCAAGCGATACATTACGCTTTTTTGATATGCGAAATCTTTCCGTCGTGTAGTAAACTCAACCAATCGCTCAAAGCTATATTTATGCTTCGTACGTGGGATACCTATGTGACGTTTCTCTTCCTTGTTTATTGTCGTGCATTATTGTCGTCATTGATAATGCCTTAGTCAAATAATCAATCAATGTAGACGACCCCCTTGCTGTCGACCTAAGCCAATCTCTTTTTCCCAGTCCAGCTTCGTGCCATCATGTCTGTCATCTTTGGCACAACGAACCCTCGCATAGGGTTTTCCTTATTGATGCTAACAATTAGAGGCGTCGGAAAAGGGCGACTAATGCCTCAAGATGGGACCAATCCTCAGCCTATCGTTAACAACACTAATGTTGGGCTAAAGTAGTTAGATTGGGTGAACGAACTTATCAAAACCCAATACGTATAAAGAATGAAAAAACCGTAAGTCGGTGGAAGGAGAGCACGAGGAATCGAACTCTCGAGACCTGTCGCTCTAGCATTACGTCAGAACAGAGTGCACGACCGTTTCGTTTTAAACGCTTGGATTGTAAAAAAAATGGCTCGGGAAACATCGTTAGTGGAAAACTTCGATTCTATGGGCTAGTTCGATTGGAAGGCTTCAAAATGATCCAGCCTACGACGACTTCTTCGGAATGGTGAATCGGTGGGCTACAGAAAACCTATTATTGAGAAACATTTTTTCGAGAGGAACACAATTGGGGAGGGAAAATTGTCGAGAAAGTCCTAAACTTATTATTAAGATGCCAATTCAGTCTTAAACCTTTCGATTGTGTCAATTTAATCATAAACTTTTTTGACGATTTGCCAATTTAGCCATAATCCTTTCGATTCTGCCAATCTAGTCCTAAACCTTTTGACGATTTGCCAATGTAATCCTTCCAGCCAAATATCCAAATAATAGGTTTAGGACTAGATTGTCAAATATTTAAAAGGGTTGGAACTCAATTAACATAATCAA